CCGGTGCCGACTTCCGAGCAGCCTTTGTGGCCAGCTGCTTCCGCGGCGCCTTACCGCCCGTTGATTTTCTAGCTGTCTGCTTGGTACGAGCCATTTCAAATTCGAAGAAAACAAGGGAAATCAGAGAGATTTTGGCGTTGATCTGAGGAAAAAAGGATTTGGGAGGTCTTTTATAAGGGAAAATTTGGAGAAAGCGGGAAGATGAAAATTTTGTGTGTTTTCTCGAGATATTTAAATTAGCGAATCCAGACCGTAGATTAAAAGAGATTATCGACGGCTATACGAACTTTGAAGTTATGATCCGCGTCATCACAAAAGATGATCTAGTCCGTTCATTGAATATTAAGAGAGGACAGACGCGGATTGCAATCGTACGGCAGACGAGACGTTTCTATGTAGGGCCGGTGGACTTCATTTATATTGGGCCACGTTTTCAGAGTTGAAAAGGTAAAGAAGGATTTCTAGGCCCATTACCTATCCGATTGGAATTTATTTTGTTTTATTTTCTAAATTTTGCCGTGTCGTAGTGGTTTAGTCATATCAAAATGCACCAGGTAAATGTATGCGGTGAGCATTTATTGTTTGAGCAAGATTTTAATCTCGAGATATGGATAGAAAGTTAAGAAACATCTTGACCAAAGGGAAAGAAATTTCATGCTCTTGGTCCCATGAGACTATTAAGTCACACTACATAATAAAGAGGACGGCCAGATCTAGTTCCTTTTGGGTTCCGTTTTCTTCTCTTAATTTCTGGATAGAAGAAGAGGAAAGGCTCACGGATAGAAGAGGGAATCCCTAAGCTTTAGGTAACAATTTTCCTCCTTTGTTCTTTCTTTTTTATCATTATGTAATTTCAGTATAATTATTGAAATGAAACGTTGATTTTTGTTCTAGTTTTAGGGCTGTTCGGATGGAGGATTAACTTTTCTGGGATCATAGAAAGTAGTGCTCGAAACTACATAATAAAGTTAATAAGTACCGTGCAATAGGTTGATAATTTTTTGATAATATAAGTGAAATCCATTTAACTGGTTTTTACCTCTGATGTGTATAATTACATTGATAAGTTTATTTATATTTAATATTAAATTAAATAATAATAATTTTTTAATAAATATATTAAATCAAAATATATATTACTTACTGTCCAATAATCTTCTCTTTTGGTCTTCTAGATTTTAAGAGAATAGATTATTCTTGGTCTTCAAGACTTTAAAAGAATAGATTATTCCTTGTTCTTTTCTTCCCAACAATCTCTTCCTTTATTCCCCTCATAACGTTGTTGCGTACCATACAAATGTAGCTTTTCTAAAAATAAAAAAAAATTCAACTGATGATTATTTGTTCTAGCGGCTTTATAATTAGGGAAAGTTTTTCTAAATGTTTTTAAGTGCATTTATTTAAAATTTTATTTTTTAATTGATATTTTAAAAAATTAATTATTAGATTAAAAGTTTCATTTATATAAATTATGCATATTAATTTTTAAATTATTTTAGTAAATTTAATTATTTTATTAATTATAAAAAATTTAATACTGTTAAATATACATATATAGATAGAGTTTTTTTTTATCAAAGGGTTATAAGTGTTAAATGAATATGAAAATTAGTATATATAATTTATATAAATAGGACGGTGCTATAAAGAGAATTTTTTTATATCACATTTTTATATAACTTTCAAATATTATTAAATGAGTTGATGTATTAAATAAGTAAATGCATTCAATATTATGAGTCTCATATGAATTAAAAAATCAATTATTTAAATGACACGTCAGGTTATATTAAAAAGTGATATAAAAAAAATTGTTCGAAAATTATCTCCCATATAAATAATACTTTCAATCTAATTATTGATTTCTAAAAATATTAATCAAAAGGTGAGTTTTTAAACATATCCTTCAAAAAAAAAAAATCTGTCTAACACTGGCCTCTTATAATTATACATCAAATGATTTTTTGAGCACATGTATTAATATTTATTTTCATTTTTTTTGGTATCATATGAAGAGTTTAATTTTTATATGTATTTATCTATTTTTTTAGCTTAGATATTAATTTTATGAGTACTTTTTTTTTTTTGAACATTTTGTCATGGGTCGGTTCGAACCGTTGCCCTGAAGAGGGGGACATGAACCTTAGAAGCGTGACTAGAGCCACTTGGCCCGAAGGGTTAAATTCAATTTTATGAGTACTTTATAACTTAATCTCACTTAAATTTACATTAATTTTATTGTTTTGTAAGTGAAGATTAAAGAATAAATTTAAAAAAAATAATTTTTCAATCAATGATAGTTTGCACATATTGTAATAACTCAGCTAGACCTTTCTCTTCAGATATCAAATTGAGGTGATTCTTAAGGTATTAAAAAATTAAAAAACAAAGTTACAATTTATCTTTTACAAACTTAACCTAGCTCAACCAATTTCAAGACAGAATTCCAGTTGGAATGCGCGGCTACGACATAGACGAAGGGTGGGCAAATTGCGAGAAAAAAAAAAAAAAGGCTGTGTTTTCAAGTCGTGGGCTGGTAGCATACCAGGCCCAAAAGGTTCAAAAAGCCCTAGTAGAACATGGGCCAGGAAGAAAAAGGAAACAATTAGGAGAATATATATACATCTCCGCGCATAAACGGTCGGTCATCACCCCAAGATTGAGCCGCCTCTGTTTTTCTTCTCTTCTCCGCCAGCCTTGCTTGGGAAATCTGCACAGCAACACGCCATTGAGGAGAAGTTGCAGTTCGGTTATGCTCTTCATTGGGACTGGTTTTGTTCATTTTTAATTTGATTTTTACAATGATTCTTTGTTGGATTTTCTTAGTCATAACTTTTCAAAACTTATTTATATGTAACTAAATTTCTTGAACTAACGTTGCATGGATTTAAATTTTTGAATTATGTGATTGTTTCTCAGTTTAATTCAAGATTTATTGGTTATTTGTATGATAAGTTTATATTATTAAGTTTAATGCATTAAAAACCTAATCACATGCATGAACTTGAGAAAGAATTGTGTAAATTAGATCAATAATAATATAAATTGTGTGTTAGACTATGAGATCGAAAGATAATTAATTCACATGTGATAGTGGTAATTTGTTTTAAATTATATAGAGATATGATTAATTTAATAAGTAAGTGAAGGATTAACTTGACTTGAGAAAATTGGTGGGAAATCCATGATCTCATGCTATAACACTGTTATTTGAACTTGAATTAGATTAATTAAATAATTGCATAATTTAGAATTAAATAAAATTTAAACCCTAATTCCTTCCCATTTATAGTTTCTTTTACTTAGAAAATTTTTTTAGTTTAAGTAATTTAACTTTATTCTATTAATTAGTTAATTCAATTTAAATTAAATTAATATCACCTTGGTAGTGGGATGTCTAAGAGTGTGTGTATTTGGTGCATCAATGATGATTCCTTGTTTTTTTCTTTCTTCGATCTCTTCCAATATTTGATATCTTTATTTGTTATCATACATCTTGATTATTCCTTGATTTATATAAATAATATTTTCAATTTAATGATTGATTTTTAAAAATATTAATAAAAAAGTGAGTTTTTAAACATATCCTTTAAAAAAAATTATTTAAAAGACGATCTATCTTATAGTGGCCTCTTACAATTATACATCTGATGATTTTTCTAGCGCAGATATTAATATTTATTTTCATTTGTTTTTGTATCATACGTCTTGATGATTCCTTGTTTTTTCTTTCTTCATTCTCTTTCAATATTCGATATCTTTGTTTGTTGCCATACATCTTGATCATTCCTTGTTCTTTTCTTTGCTTCATTCTCTTTCAATATTCGATATCTTTGTTTGTTGCCATACATCTTGATCATTCCTTGTTCTTTTCTTT